GTGTTGAGCCACTGGGAAAGCAGCATCCCCTTCTTTCCCACCAGGCTTAAGCATGAGAGGACATAGAGCTGTTGGCATCATGCTACTATATGGATCCTGGGAATAAAGTCAACACAGGCAGGAGAGCAACAGCTGACTCCTCAGTAAATTACTTTTAAAATGCTCCTGCCTGCAGGGTGCATGGTTGTTTGTGTGTAAAATTGCTTCTGTGTACTCGCTAGAATTTACTAGAGGATATTTGAAGTACCTCATCAGAGATCCACCTTCCAGAGGGAGCTGCTTAAGCCCTTTAAATAAATTTATCAGTGAAATGAGTCAGGGTCAAGATTTGTGGGGGCTGGAAAGCCTACGTTCTTCACTCTCCCCTTTACTTAAGAGTATAAGAACCCTGCAAGCCCAAGGGCCCAGTCCTTAGGAAGAGTAGTCGGTCTGCTTACTTTTGTCCTGTGTGCGTGCCTCTTTCCCAGAGCGAATACCGCGTGTTCCCCTCAGATGCATCTTTCATGCACAGTGCTCTTTGGAGAACTTGTAGAATGGGGCGTTGCAGAGCTTATGCTGCTGAGATTCTGTAACTTCTGTGAGTCTGTTGACTAAGTACATTTTTATATATTGGTCAGGTTTAGTCCAAGATTTTGTGGCCACCACTGTTGCTATGAGTCGGATCTGACTCGACGGCATGTAACAACAAAACACTCGTCTGTCAGTTTGTCATACTCTGGTGGCTTGCATGTCACTGTGAGGCTGGAGGCTAGGCCACCAGCATTTCAAATACCAGCAGGGTTACCTATGTGGACAGGTTTCACGGGAGCTTCCAGACTAATACAGACAAGAAAAAAGGCCCAGCGACCCACTTCTGAAAATCAGCCAAATAAAACATTATGGATGACTGAAGATTGTCCAACCTGCTTATATTGGACTCATCATCAGGAGGGATCAATTGAAGAAGAACATGATGTTTGATGGAGCAGAAGGCCAATGAGGGTGAGCGAGACCCTTGGTGACATGACTGAACCAACAGTCACAACAACAGACTAGTAATTGTGATGATGACACAGGATGAGGCAACGTTTAGTTCTGTTTTACGTAAGGTCACTATAAGGTAGCCAGTGTGTGTGTCTGTGGGGGGCACAGAGTCCCACTGGGAGTGCATCTAACAGTTGGCAGTGGTAATAATCACTGTAAGAACTCTATGAAATGATTCTACTTGTGGAATGATCAAACTGCCTTCAGCAGCAGGGCTGAACTGAGAGATGGAAGAAAATCAACTTTTGATGACATTCTTGGAGCCCTAAACCCAACTGCGACCCCTGGACTTTTTAGAGGCAGGCAGTACATTTGCCTTTCGGTTTAGGCCATTCCCTGCCTACCCCCCATACACACACATATTTGTGAAAGAAGAGTCCTACTTGATCAGCACTCCCTTATTTCTACATATTTTTAGACCGTAACAACACAGGAAACCAAGTAGCACCATAAGCTAACGTTCTTCTCATTCCTGCAAAAACAGAAATGGAACACACATGTGAACTCTATTTAATTCGCTCCATTTTATTCTGGGATGTATATTACAGATAATACAACTCACAAACATACCAGTGGACATTGAAAACTAAGGCCATTCTGTGAGTTATTTTTAAAACTCAGTTGTTTTGCACGTAATGCTGTTTTAAAAAAATGAATTACGAAAACCAAGATTCTTTTATGAAATAAGAAATTATGGTAGGTACAACTTTAGGACCGTATCTAATCTGAAGCTTATCGTGTGACAAACCACTTTTGCTTTCTCTAGCACAAGTAACAGCTATAAGGCAACCGCTACCTCAGCATCAAGTGCTCTTCACCAGATGTTAGCACTAAGTAGTGTTTACCCAGTACAGTGACCAGTGTTTACAAACCATTTTCCTCCCAGTGAGTAGCTAAAAAGAGACTTTTACCTAAGAAATATATTGCAAAATTCTTGGAGCAAGAAAAGAAAGGGACCCGTAACTAAGGCACTGGAAGCACATTATTTATATAAAGAAATGTAAACAATTTAACACCAACAGGCTCCCTCTCTTAGTCTTAATATTGTAAAGGGGCACACGGGCATGGTGGTCAGGCAAGTGTTTGAAGTTGAGTAAAACAGTCTTCCTTTCTGCAGAATTCAATCTTGGCAAGTGCTCCCAATACAAGATTTCTGGATAGTGCTGTTGAAATAAACTAATATCAATGACTCAAATGGAAACTGTTATTTCCCCTTAATCTGCATCTTAATAGCATAAAAAACAAGGAAAGATTTCATGAGGAGCTTGAAATTATGAGCTTTAACATTTACTTTTCTTTTAGTCCTTTGCTATATTCTTCTAATGAACTTTAAAATTCTTGGGCTTGTTTCATCAAAGATGAACCTATTCAGGGCTTTACTTATAGGTTCATATTTTTAAGAATAATGGTTCATGTCCTATTTTAAACCACACATGCTTTATTTAAAACTTCACAGAATGGTAAATCAAAGATTTAACAATTGGACCAATAGCATTGTAAAAATTTCAAAGTCCATTTGAGTTTACCTTCAAAGGACTGAAAAGGCAGTAAGGAAGGGTGAGTGTCTAGTTAATAGCTGGGCCAGCAGCGGCTCTGGGTCTGGAGGGATGGGGAAGGAAGGTGTGAAGGGGTAATTCCTGAGGCCAATCACATTGAAAAGCTAAAGTAACTTATACTTGACATTTTGGCATTAATTTAAAATACTTCCAAATCATTAACTGTGTATTTCTTTTTATATGATATTTTTAAACAAAAGAAAAGCCTTTAACATAAATAAATGTGTAGAGAAATGCAAATAGTTTTGATTTAAAAAGAAGCCTGATTGCAAAAACCCAAAAGCAAACAAAATCCTCAAATGGGACTTTTCTTTTTGAAATCATTTCTAATTCTTAAAGCATGTACAACATCGTTATCACCCACTTTTAGTGCTTTATAATTATGAATTCCAGGTAGGTCAAACAAAACTTGCATTTATGTTTTTAATTAGTAATTTTTTTTTTTTAAAGTCCCTTTTAAAGATTTCAGAAAGTGAAGGAGGGTGGACAATAAGTGGAGATTACATCCGGAGCAAGGAGCCATGTGAGCTTAGAGGGAGGGCAGAAATCAATCACAGTTTGGACCAGTTGCATTCTAAATGCCTTTTGGGTAGAAGGCACAGCTTTTCTCTTCTATCCAGGACAAATGCCATACTAATTGTTAGACTATTTCTGTGTTTCCAAATATAAACAAAGGAAGTCTGAGAGAAACCTAAATTAGAAACCTCTTTTAGTAAGGGAGGAAAAAAGTTAAAGAGGGGGGAACTTTAAAAACTATGAGGCTAAACAGCTGGGTTTGGAGATGTGCATAATAACTAATTAGTGACTCCCAGAAGGATTAAAAACAGCTTGTGAGGGGCAGTTAAATATAGGTTGGTGAGTTTCAATAGGGACACTAGTTTATACCCTTCCAATAAAAATGATGTGTCGACAGTGTTCTGTCCCAACCAGTACTTTCTAAAAGAACCTGCTCTGTAAGTTTACCTTCCATGGCAATGCACGATTCAATTGTTGGGTAAAAGTTACCATCATGCAAAAATAAGGTATAATTAAAGAGAAGGCATTCATGCCAAAAGAGTACACAAAAGCAGTCAGTAGCTTTTGAGGCTGGTTCAATGCAGGAATAAAGCTGACAGGTTTGCTAACAGCTAACGACTTTCAATTGCCTCATATTTTCTGCTGTTCTGACCAGCATTCATGTGACATGAAGTAAGGAGTAGTGCACAGCTCCAGTAGAGTGGAAACAATGAGGATACATTTCTTTTGCCTCAGGAGATTGGTGCTGTTGGCTCACTAGATTTTCCATCGACTCTAAATGACAGGAGTATTTAGGAAAACAACTGGTCAAAATTGGGTTTAAATATTGAAAGAGGAAGCCTGGGACTAAAAGACAGAAAGAGAGATGTAGACAGATACCCTCTTGCTACATTTCAAAAGGATTCATTTCTGTCATATCCGTTTGGTTTTAAGAGTAAAATGTGTCAAGGCTACAATAATTGAAGATAAACCATTACCGCCCTGTCTGTAAGCAGTTTTGCTGCTGCTGTTTTCATGGCAGACGTTAGATACCCATGTATTTATGTAGAAAACATAATAACCTTCCTTTTTAAATTAAGTTTTAAAGAATTATTTCAAAAGATACACAACTTCAAAGACAGTTTCTGACTGCTATAACAGAACATTCTTCTAACTTTTCCTTTAAAAAAGTATGTGACTTCATGTATACCATTTTTAATGCAGAAATAGCTACGCCTGCCAACAAGTTATAAGGAAACCAGCACTAAGCATGCAAGATTAAGTATAAGTGAAGAACTAAACCACATTAATTCCTACCTTTCAAAATTCAAGCTAAGGTTTCCAAGTGAAGAGCCTGTGGTTGCTCCCTGAGACACATCCAGGTCTTATTTTTCCATGTGAAAAAAAGGGCACAGGTGGTTTTCTGATGCCTAAGTCAGCACAAGTATAATTGCCAAGATTTCATGAATGATGAAGGGCTTCCTATCAAAATGTTGATCAGTTTAAGGACAGGGATTTCAGTTTTCTGGTCTTCAGGAAGAAGGATGGAATAGGTTTGATTGGCATAGAAAGGAGTGAGGGCAGTGCAGAGAGAGGGAGTCCTGGGTACCGTGTTCCATGGGAACCGGGAGGACGGGTGCTTACCTTGGTGAGGTGAGGTGACCTGGGCCCATGCTCACAAGGTCCAGATCTGCCTTCTTGTCTAGAAAGTATGCTAGGTTATTAGATTGGGCCTTTAAGAAAAACTTGTGTGTACCATGTCTGTTATAAGCTTGATGACTCTTTAATATTCTGGCCCAAGTTACTTCACAGCAGTACCTCCCTGTTAAGCAGTATTGAAATTACATTCAGAGATTTAAAAAAAAAAAATCACATGTGTAGCAATATATATTTTTTTTACCACAATATCAAGTGCAAAATATCTTTAACAAATAAGATGGTAATAAGAAATATTTGACATTGTCATGCAAAAATGCATCTCAGTTTACAAAGGTTTAGAACTTCTCCAAAATAGCCCCTAAATATTTTACATTGTGAACCTTACAATCTCACTCATTTTTCTTTGCATTTAAATGTGGTTGCTTGTGTAAAAAACGGTAACATGCAAGTTCAATGATCTCTAGTCCACCAAATATTCTCTCTTGCAGCACGAAGATTACAATAGAGATTATAAAATACCACCGAACAAGGCTGTACAGATAGATGAGCAGGCACATTGCAGGGCTGAACAGGGTCCAGTACAGTATGGACAGCAATTTGACCACAAGGACCCTGAGCTCAGACTTGCAAGGGGGAATTACACTCTGTCCAGTGAAGAAAAAATTCTTCTCCCTTTGATAAAAAGAACGGAGTCTCTCTTCTTTCTCTTCCCACCGCTTGTGGCACCAGAGCTGAAGGTCCTCCTTGGATGTAGGGAGGGTGTCGATTGGGTATCGGCGGACGTGAAAGTGGATTTCCTTGGGAAAGTTTCCATTGAGGAGGTGCTTTTCTGTCTGAGGAATGTTGTGAGGATACGCCACAGTGATGTCATGGACAGCATCAAGATTCTTACCTAGGTTTTAGAGAAGATAAAAATACAGATGGAGCAATGATCACTTGAGGTGGTGATGCTGACTCAGATGGCAAGATAGAGCCAAACACACTGGACATCATGACAGATGAACCACGATGAACAAACAAGGGCTATAAATACTGATGTTCCTGGGCACTTGGGTATTTACCAGTCATTTTTAGTTTTGTTTTTCTTTTTCTTTTCTTTCTGCTGCTTGCTGATTACCACAAAGATTGTTAGAAAGAAATTCTCTTCACTTGGAGAAAACAGTAACCTGTCATTCTAAAACTAAATTGAAAAGTACATTTACTCAGATTTGATTAACCATTAAGGGTACAGGACCAGCCTTTTCACATCAACAGGATTCGCTATTTTGATACCTCCTATTAATAGTCCCTCCTCTCCAAATTAAAAAACAAAACAGAACAAACAAAACCCTTTCATCTTTAACCCATTATTACCATGATAATTACTAGAAAGAACAATTTAGAATCAGACTTGATATAAAGTGGTCAGAAATACAAGAAAACTTTCCTTTTTTTTCACATGTATAAACTGAAAATGTGAGCAAAATCCTGACTTGGTATATTACTATCCTTAGCAAACTCATGACTAATATTAATTTGGACATAAGTGTTTTCAACAATGTCATATGCCAGATGCTGGAGACAGAAAGGTGAGTAAAACATGGCCCTTCACCCCAAGAGGTTCACAATATAATCAGGGAGACATGCATGCATAATATCCTAAATAGTACCACATGGGAAAACATAAGGGCACCAAGAAGGAAGTGTCCACTGTTGTCTGAGGGAAAGGGGTGGGGATGAAGGAGGAGAGGAAGCTGTAAGGCAGTGGGTAGAGCACAGTGGGTCACTAAAAGGAGGCTGGAGGCATATGGTGAAGGCCTTCATACTGTCATCGTTCAGACAATGAACTCTTTTCTGTAGATGGTGAATAACCTTATAATAGTGGAGAACCATTTAAGGATTTTAAACAGAGCATGAGCCAGGATGTTTCATTTCAGCAAGCATTACCCTGATGGGCTCCCCGGGCAGTGCAAACACTTAAGCCTTTGACTATCAGCTGAAAGGTTGGCAGTTTGAACTCATCCAGAGGTGCCTTGGAAGACACCCCTGAGAATTTGCTTCTGAAAGATAACAGCCTGGAAAACCCTGTGGAACAATTCTATCTGCACATGTGGGGCTGCCATGAATGGGAATTGACTTGATAGTAACTAACCACCACCATCACTGTGGGGAAGTAAAAAGAATGGTTTGAAGAGGATCAAAGACAAGACAAAATTATTGTGGTTAGCTGCCATAGAGTTAGCCCCGGACTCCGGGCAACCTCATGCACAGTAAGACGGCTGTGATCCACAGGATTTTCATTGGCTGATTTTTTGAAGCAAACAGCCAGGCCTTTCAACTTAGTCTGCAAGCTCCATTGAAACCTGTTCAACATTAATAGCAACACACAAGCCTCCACTGATGGATGTGTGGTGGCGGCACTTAGGTGCAAGGGCCAGAAATTGAACCCGGGTCTCCAGCAAAGGCAAGAATTCTACCACTGAACCACTACTGTCCACAGACAGAGCTAGGCAAAGTAATTAGATGGATGTTGCAATATTATAGGCAAGAAATGAAGAGGAGTTAGGACCCAGAGGAAGATACGTGTCCTGAAAAATTAAAAGAAAGAAATGACATGACATAATCATCAACTGGATGTGGGAGGATAAGGAGGAGAGAGCCTAGGTGTTTCAGGCTCAGGGGACTGAGTGGATGGATTAGACATGTAAGAGAAGTGTTAGATCTGGAAGGGACCATGGTGATCACTTCATCAAACCCTGCATGTGAAGGCCCAGAGAAGTTAAGTATTTCCCCCAAAGGCACACAGAGTGTTGATGCTTGGTATCTCAATATTGATTTCTCCCATACCATGTTATCTTCAATGAGAAACTTTTGATGTGGATTTTGATTTGTTATAGAACTACATGATACAGACAAAACTACTCAGTAGTAACAGAAATCAGAAAAGTGATTGCCTGTGGAGGTGGGAAATGCTGTGGTAGTTAAGGTTGTGTGTCAACTTGACTGGCTCTGGGTTTGAGTGGCTGGGCAGCTGGGTGTAGTTATTTCCCATAATGAGACTGGTAGTTAACTCCATGGTGGAATCTGCTGTGAGCAGCTGCCTTAGGAATGTCGTCTGCTCCCAGTATATAAGCAGCAGCTTTGATAAAGGGCTCTAGCTTTTTGGCACATCTGTATTCTGCATTTGGCTGACTCTTCATCTTAGTGGCCTATCATGTTGTCTGCCAACCATGAGATGATTTCTGGACTTGAACTAGTGGCTTGATAATTTTAGGACTGTGCCATTTTACCTGTTGACCTTGAGCTTGTTAGTCTCAGCAGCCAGCAGGTGCCTGAGTGAAGAGATGCCTCCAGCTTCAGTGGGCTGGGAGCCAGAGGCAGAGCTGAAGCCCAAGGTCGAGGAGCTTTCACCCAAACCCCAGAGCTAGCACTTTGAACTCAGACTTCTAGTCTCCTAAACTGTATGAGAATAAATGTCTGTTTGTTCAAACCATACATTTGTAGTATTTTCTGTTAAAGTGGCACTAGTGAACCAAAATAAAGGGAGAATGATGACACCTTCTGGGTGACAGATATGTTCCATATCTTGATTAAGGTGTGGAATACATGATGTTTAAACTTGTCAAAATCATTAAAATGTACATTTACACTCTATTTAAATTTCACCTCAACAGTAACAGTACTAAAGATGCAACTTTTCCCTTTCATCTCATGTTTTACCCTTTCCAGGGAAGCTATTAGGTTATACCCACCCACTGCCACTGAGTAGATTCTGACTCATAGCAACCCCCCAGTGGGTTTCCAAGGTTGTAAATCTTTATGGAAGTAGATTGCTTCATCTTCCTCCTGTGGAGCAGCTGGTGGGTTTGAATGGTCAACCTTCTGGTTAGCAGCCAAATGCCTTACCCACTTACGTCTTCTGTAAAGGTTTATTGTCAGTCCCCATTAAAAAAAAACAAAAACACCTCTCAACAAGACTTAGATTCAAAACTGGAGGGAATGCTGTGTATTGTTTATATGAGGGGGCAGAGGGGCTGCATATGAAAGGCTCGTGGAAGAAAGCTTTAGTGGCTGTGTTGGAATGGCTAGCGGAAGACAAAACTGGACCTGTTTGGCTCCAAAGAAGAGACGTGGGTCCAGTGGTTAGAAGCCACAAGGAAAAGCTTTTTAACAGAGTTGTCAGGAAGTAACGTGTTTACCCTTTGAGAAAAGGCTGGCTGGCCGCTTGCCTGGCATGCTCTCAGTGGAATGTGCATACGGGAAGGTGGGTTGTCTGATCAAGCATCCAAGAAAGACCTACTCTCTGCACCAAGCATGATTCATCTCTTAAGCTGGTAATAACTCATCTGCATTAAAAATCAAGCAACATTTTGTTTCTTATCATTAGTCATTACTCCATAGTAGGGAAAACTCTTCCTTGACTATACAAGCTAATTTAATATATCATCATACCCTCTGTCTCCAGGCCCCATGGCCCACATTCATTTATGCCCACCAACCCCAATCATTATCCTTGTTCCAAATGCTTTACCCCAATCATTATCCTTGTTCCAAATGCTTTACATCGACTCCTTCATTCCTTTTCCTACTTCCTCTCACAATGGAGAAAATAAGATATCTGCACCTTTTGTCACTTGCCATGGCAACTATCCCCTATGATTTAAAACTGAATACACATTTATCTCAAAAAACAAAACAAAACAAAAAGAAAACCTCTGCAATCAATATTACTACTTTCACCTTCTGCCCAAACCCTTCTCCCTCAATCAAGGTCATGGTCTTTATCAATGTTACTTTTCCACAGCCTTGACCAATCTCGTTCCCCCATGCATTTCCTATCATTTTTCTACTTAGTCATTCTACATTACTTTTCACATTTAATATTAAAAGCTATTCTTATGTCCCAGCCATTCTATCCTAAGTGGTTCTTAACTTTTATCAATTAAATCCCAAAAAAGGAAAATCACCCAAACCAATTGTCATTGACTTGATTCCAGCTCATGGTAACTCAAGTGTGACAGAGTAAACTGTGCTCCACAGGGTTTTCGATGGCTGATTTTTAAGAAGTAGATTGCCAGGTGTTCCAAGGTGCCTATGGTTGAGCCTAAACTACCGACCTTTTCATTAGCAGCCAAGTTCTTAATTGTTTGTGCTATCACGCAGTATTACAAACTCGTTTCAAAATGTAAGAAAGGTTTCTTACTAGTATAATTAAGGAACTAAATTGCTCCCTGCTTTCTATATTCCTCTTACTTGACAACCTTTTCAGTAGGTTATGTGTGTGTTTGCAAGAGCAAGTGTACACACACACATGTGCATATGCTTGCATGTCTGTGGGATTATGACTACTCAGTATACAAATAGCAAATTGAGACAGTGATGGTACCATTTATAGAAATGTTCAAATGTGAAAAACTCTAGATTCACTGCAGTGCAGAGAGCTCAAATCAGACTTGTTGTTGTTGTTATGTGCCGTCGAGTCAGCCCCGACTCACAGCGACCCCTTCTTGGGTTTCTGAGGCAGTTATCACTACAGAAGTAGGATTGCCCAACCTTCCTTCCGAGGAGTGGCTGGTGGGTTTGAACCGCCAGCCTTCTGGTTAGCAGTCAAGTGCCTTAGGCACTACACCACCAGAGCTCCATATTATGTATTCAATAAACGTTAGCCGCTGCTATCATCGTTGTTTTAATTGTTAGCATGCTAGGCTCCAACTTACGAACTTTAGCTCCTGTAAGTCTACTGATGCCAGAACCATTAAAAAAGTGCCAAACTCAGTGCCATCGAGTTGACTGGACTCATATCGACCCCTCCTTAGGTTTCTGAGGTGGTAGCTCTACAGAAGTAGATTGCCCAATATTCTTTCCAAGGAGTGGCTGGTGGGTTTGAACCACAAGCTTTCTGGTTAGCAGTCA